GTGTTGTTATTGACTGAGGCCGCAATCTGATCGGCTCCGAGGCGATAACAAGATGCTCGCGGGACTCGCCTTGCCCTGCCTTTCTTAAGTTGTCAGTGACTACATTCTCATTACCAGGGTTAGTATAACTAGCGCAATTAAGTGTAACTAAAAACAAAAATATCTATCTGGCCGGTGAAAAAAAAAAAAGATCACTCGGGTTTTCGTTATTTTAGTACAAAAAAGGGCACATTAATACGTTAGACCCATCTTGCTGTAAAAATAAAGCGATTTCCAAATTCCGGTAAAAAAAAGCACGCTTTTCGTGTAAGGCTTGTCAAATAATGAGGCGCTGGAGAAAACCAGCCTTCAGAATTTAGTCCTTATCTTGAACGATATTTGTTCGCGTTCCGCCCGTTGAAAAGCATGCGGGAAGGGCCTCAACACGCACCTCGTATCGCTGCGCCGCAGTGTTCTTCCGTAGCATAAAGGACGTCTGCTTTCATCGCCGTCACCATAGCGACGAACGCCGAATTTTCCGAACGCCGCCTGCTAGCCAAAGTTCAATAGATTTGTAATGAGCAGCCTCAGACTGTCGCCGCGACGCTGCGTGAACGCAGGCTGAAGGTTTAACACGCTCCCCAGTGATAGACGCGCCGTCCGAAAAGGTCGTTGGGCTTTTGTTGCCATGGTGACGGCGATGAAAGCAGACGGCCTTTTCGCTGCGGAAGAACACTGCGGCGCAGCGATACGAGGTGAGTGCTGAGGCGCTTCCCGCATGCTTTTCAAGGGGCGGAACGCGAACAAAAAGAGTTATAAATAAGTACTTAACGCAGAAGGCTGGTTTTCTCCAGTGCCTCATATATTAACGAGCCTTACACGAAAAGCGTGTTTCTTTGGCCGCCCCGCGCCCTCTTTTTTTTATTTTTTATCCGTAACATGGGACTGAAGTATCAAACTGCCCAACGAGGAAAGAGGTCTGCACTGGACTTCCAGTTAGGAGCCAGGGTCTCCCAATCCATGGTATTTCAAAATAAATGGAACAGCTTTATTTGGGATGCTTTTTTGTTTTTCTTTGTATATGTTTTGTCGCGTGTATGTGGCTCCAAAAGTTGACATTTTCGATCGTTAGTGACATCAGTAACTTAAATGCTATTAATTCAAGCCCTGGACCAGCAAATTGCAATTTCCGTCTTTGTCCAAACTATTTTTAGCGCCTCATTTTGAAACATTTCTACGTGTGCGTTTAGTTGATAACCGATTAAAAAAAATACCAAATAAAACAACAAAACCAAAACAACAACAACAACAACAACAACACCACCCGAGCTAATTTTACTTGCCGCTTCAAAAACCTCAGGATACAATCAGGGGTTGCCTTCACCCTGCTCCTTTGAATCTTCGCCAATTAGCCTACCAAACCCTTATCCGACCAAGACTTTATTATTTATTGACTATGTGTGACTGAGTGCTTTCCGGATTTTTATGTAATTATGTTTTTCTGCTCTTTTTATTTTTTTGCTGAGTGTTTCTTTATATTATTATCATGAAAATGTGCCCCCCCCCCCTCCCTCTTATGTAATGTCACTAATGAGGATCTTTAACGGTATATGACGTATATGAGGTGTATCATCTTTAAGGTATATCATCGTATATGACTTCACCTTGAGGAAAGTTAGGCTAGACCTTGTGAAAGCGTCGGTTCTGATTCTTTGACGCCAAGTTGAGCTGTCTCTACGCTGGCGTAGCAAAAACTAAAGCATATTCCACAGTTAACCTTGCGCGCCCATTCAACGGATCAATATGAGAAAATTTAATAAATTAGCTTTAACTTTGAGTTCCTCTGATTTCTGCCAAAACCGGCGCAGACTCCTTCCGATTGTTGAAAGGTTTACTGAAGTCGCTGCACGTGACTCTTTTTTAATTTTTTTTTCGCCTTCAATTGCAGAGTTTGTACGTCTAACTCAAGCAGCGGCCTCGGTGGCCTCGAGGAAAGATGCCGCCTTACGGATCCGTTGGTGGGCCCAGACCTCGGTCGAGGCACTCGCAGTCGGACGAATACTCATTGGGGTGTAGGCGTCGTGCAGCTGATATTTCGTTCCCACATTAAAAATCTACTGACATAAATTTATCACCCGTCGTTCGTTGGGGCGTGTCGGATGGTCCTTGTCGATTTAAAACATAAACCCTTGAAACATAGTATTCCTTTTTAGTGAAGTAAACCGATTCACTATCCCATGGCCACCGCCTTTTGACTTTTAAGTGATGAGGCAAAGCTAGTTTTCGAAAAATGAATCACAACTCGAGCGTCGCCCCAACATAATGAAACTATAGCAAGGCCATCCTTGTGAAAGTCACTCCAATGATACCGTAACGAAAATTATCAGCCGCTTTTGAATTCAGGGCTGCAGGTTTCAAAACCGAGACGCCCGTCTCTTTGTAGAGGATCTCAGCGTAAACCCTGGACTTAATAATGTTTGGAGCGGGCGGACTGATTGGCGACTTCTTCCTTATGATAACGACGCCCTACCCAACCTTTTATGCGCAAACTCGCGGCTCTAACCTCACGCCGCTGTCATGGCGCTGCTGTCGGCGCATGCGCAGATGTATTAGTTGACGCGAATATGGTTTATGCGCACGCGGACGGCCCACACTTGCAGGTGTGGGCAAACGCGGATTTGTTTTTAAACAATTTGTTCGTTAAATAGTATAATGAACCATACAGTTATCTACGCTCTTGAGCGCATAGATTAACGGGTGGGCTCTAAGCAATGCTCCCGCGTCTACTTCCCCAAGAGGGCTGTCGTGCTTCCAACAACAACTGTGATCTTATGACAACAACAAAGCCCTTCACAAAAAAAAAAAAAAAAAGAAATATTGTAAAAGGATGAAAACATAAAGTTTACTGTCCCATTTATTTCTGTCTCTCTTACTGCCCTTACTCTTTCCCTTCTAGGTCTCATGATTTACCAGCATGACAAAACCATAAACAAGTCCAAAGAAAAACAAATATGCCGTGTAATGCCGAGCTTGCCGTGATCATGTAACAGTGAAACCCTGCTTAGTGTTACATTGCATACATCCGGGGGGATCGGTGGCCGAGTGGTCTAGCGCACACCAGCTCGGAGCACGTGGAGCGAAAGCTCGCGCTGCAGAACCCAGGGATCCTGGGTTCGAGCCCCACCCCTGCCCGTTTCGATCTGGATGAGCATCGTACCGGCGTGCGGTCGTGTATCACTACTGCGTGATGCACGTTAAAGACCCCAGGCTAGCGGCTGTACCGCACTGGCTAAATTGCTCATCTACAGCTGGGAGACTCGTCGCCCCTGTGAGGCAGACCAAGTTCTAGGCTGTATAAACACACACACAACCCAATTTTTTGCATACATCCTATTTTTAAAGGAAAATATACTTCAGGCATCGTCATTCACTTGCGAAGCTCACTCCGAAGATGACTGTGATCTGCTCAGCGGTGAAACAGACGCAAGGACATTTCTAGTGTGTGTGTACACTTAAAAAACGAAATAGACACCCACAATTAATCGTTTCTGGAGGAAATATTGACTCTGAAAAAGACAACTGCAATGGCGCAGCCTTTTATTACTATTATTATATATATAATACTTAAAAAAAACAAAAAAACATATATGTACTTTTTTTTCTGCTTTTGAAAAACGTGTTCGGGTTCGTGGCTTTTGAACACTTCGGAATGTTCCAATATCCCCACCAGTCTCCGAGTGACCCGCGAACGCCTTAATGAAACTTCCGGAATGCAGCCAGGACTAGCGAACGCGCCGACGGCGACCCAAGACGGCCAGCCATTGTTTCGACGAGAGAAGTTTGGCGGATCTGCTTCCTCGGGCAAGCTTCGGTATCGGTCAGGGAAATCTTGGTCGACAAGGTTTTTCGCCCAGATACCGGAGCGTGAACGTTGGTAATAGGTGCAGTGTACGGAAATAAGTTAAAGGTCGCCTAATTGGATCACAGAGCGAGGCCTGACCCTGGACCGAGTCGAAAGGACAACGCCTGCACCCCAAGGACTCACATGGCTGGTATGTTTTTGTGTGCATGTGCGCCAGACTTGCACGCACGTTACTAAAAAAGGTATAATCGATGAAAATGACATTCTGTTAAAAATATATTCAAATAGATTATCCGAGAAGAAAACTAATTGGCCGTTAACTCGAAAAAGTAACCGCTACTTTTTGTACTTCGATGTTCAGAACGACAGATTTTTCCGTTGGTTTGAAAACGAGTCTTTTAATACTGTCCATTATTGAAATAAAATCCCCGAATTTTAGGCTTCTCATCTTAATCCATTAATGTTGGTAATTCATTCTCCATTCGGAAACTTCGTTCCAGGATTTCTAGGCACGAAACTTGTAGAAACAAGGGGCGCCATTAAAAAGGGGAGGAAAAAATATTAACGGTTGCGGGTAATATTAGTTTTTTTTTTCAGGAGTAATCAGACTGGTTTGGGGAGTACTTCCTAATACAATCGAATGATTACAAAATTACCCCAAAAAGTAATGCGATACAAGTACTTTGATCGTACTTGTAATGAATACCGCACACGTCCTGTGTGTGTGTGTGCAGGGGACCCGAGGGGAAGCGCTCGATGAACGCCTGTTTTCCTGTCTTTCGTACACTCGAGGTTCACACCACCTTAATGATCCTGCAGAACGCGAAGCCAGCCAAACAAGGCGAACAGTACAAGGATCCCAGAGAACGATGAAGCGCATAGTACAACTAAATAATAATAATAAAAAAAAACACACACACGATGTTTGAGAAGATATTGGTATGGTGAAACGTGATGCTCATTGTTCCCGTGCAGATCACGCTTTTTGGGTCGAATCCTAACCTGAGTTTCGTCAGCCGCCCGGATCCCGGTATCGTTCGCCGTAAATAACTGTTTCCGTGTTCCATAAAAAAAAAAAAAAAAAAAAAAAAAAAGTCGATTAAACGCGTGTTGCACGGCCCGGGGTTAGAGGAGGAAAGGGGGGGGGGGGGGGGCGCACCTCTAGCTGCTCGTTTTCAGCGGCGTCGTGGAAGGGCGACTTGCCGAACTTGTCCGGCAGCAGGGCGGCGCCGTGGGCGAGCAGCCAGCGCAGGGTCTCCACGTGGCCCCTGCTGGCCGCAAAGTGCGCCGCGGTCGCACCGTCGTTGTCGCTCAGGTTCGGGTCCAGCCCCTGGTCCTCCACCTGCAAACCAAAGCGGTCGTCTTCAATGTCCACCCCACGTTTACCTTGGACCAGTGCACCAAATCTGTAAGAAGCGCTGGGTGTGGGTCCTTAGGAACCCCGTAGAGCAATAACGATATTTATCCTCGAGCGGTACGGAACCCAGACTTCATACACCTCTTTTACCACCGTCGTGGGCTTCATCGGCGCAGCGGGCGTAGGGCACACAAGGTCATGCAAGGTCACCCAAGATCACACGTATTAGCGACGTGCGCGAATGTATCTAGGAAGTCACATAGCTTCCGGTATACTGATGATGCTTGCCCAATCCCCGGTTCAAGGCGAGGAAAATGCTGCCATTCACGGCGAAGCAAATATCGTGATCGTGACGTCAGGAACGGAAACCGCAAGACGGCGCCACCGAAACATCTCGGCGCTAATAGGTCGTAATCAATAATACATCATCGGCCGTTACCTCGTCTGATTTGGAAGGCATCCGGCACTATGGGATACGCTTGAATCCGAGTCTTCCCCAAATACTGACGCGGCACTCGTGTCCAATAAGAGTTGAGCCGAGTTCAGGCCGAACACTGACGTAGCTCTCGCGTCCTATTCACATCCCCAGAGCACGTGCCCAACCAGTGGCGGACTCGAATAGTGGCGCGCACTTCTGGAAGCTGTCTATTTGTTGACGGAAATGAAGCTTTCGACCGCCCTCGAATCTAATATGTTTTTTTCTTTTTTTAGGTTTGGTGTGCTCTTGAATATTACGTGGCCGTCATCGAGCTCCGAAATAGGGTGGAGTTACGTGCAATTTCATAGTTTGCATTACGCTATTTCTTATATTTTGGCCACCGCACTGATGCTCGATATATTTGTTTAACTGCATATAATATATACAGTATATAATTATGTATACTGTATATATTATACCGTATATATACTGCATATAATTTTCCAGAGTTTGTTTACCGTGAAGGTAAGTGGAAGCACCAATGTTCTCTTACCGACGAAAAATTAATTTTATATTTATTTTGAACCTCTTTTTTAATTTGCAGCGCTATTGGAAAGTTCACTGCTGCTAAATTGATCATGAACCGGAAGTAAAATTATTGAAACACGCTTGTCGCGGAAGGGCGCATGAATTAATTAAACGATGGAGATGAAATAATTTGAATACGCGTGTTTTTATTTTTAAATATCTAGGAGCACAGAAGGGAAGAAAAAAAAAAAACTTAGACATAATAGAAACCAACATTACTTACCGCGAAAAGCAGTTGGCGAATAAATATTTTAAAAAAACATTGAATTTTAAATTAAAAAAAAAAAAAAAATAGGCACGTACAGATATTCCAAGCGGCACCTCCCAAGAATGAAATTATTAGGTTCATGAAGCACCGAATAATCATGAATGAAAGGAGGAAATGTGTCGCGATCAGTGCTTGCCTGGGAAAACTGGCCATGCATTTCACTAATAACTATGCATTGTTTCAGCTCGAGTGCAGACGAAGCCGACACTACGATGCAATAGGATTAATTCAGCAGCGTCAAAAGTGCGACTCACTTGGCCTTTTCCGTTTACGACCGGTTCAGCGATGATAGAACGGCTACAGAAACATGACGAACACCATTCATGGAGTTTGTCATATGCGCCTGGACGTACGGTAAATGCGAAGTAGACGGTAGCGTCAACCGAATACACGCATTTTCTTTTGAAACGATTGTCGGCTTCACCAAATGCGTCGACTAGTGTTGACATCAGCAACGAGCAAGTGCAGCCTCCGAAACGATGAGACAGTGCGCGCCAGCGTTGTGCCAACCGGAGCTGGAACATCTGGCAGAGAGCCTCTTCAGACGATCCCCGCTTTGTTTTCCTTAGATCGAGTGCGAACCATTGTTGTACAAGCGGACAATTTACCTGTCATAAACGAATGTTGCAGGGAAAAAAAAAAAAAGAAAAAGGAAGAAACAGGCAGCTGGATAGCAGAGCCGGGTGCTGCGCCGTCATATTTAATGTTAAAGAAGAAAAAAAAAAAGTTTAGTTTTGCGATGGGTGCAAACAGGGCGAGCATCTCGCTGCACTCCGAGAAGGACAACATAAATGTCACATGCTATGAAAATAATAATAAAAAAAGGCATTATTGAGAAAGGGAGCGGATTTACCGTACGAACATCTCTGCACTACGCTTTCTTTGGAGGTCGTTTAGCGATGCACGATGCTCTTAAATGTTTAAGTTTGAGAAAAGCTTGGAGTATTACCACTACTATGAAGACATAATTCGAGCTCAATAATTTATTAAAATCTAACGAAACTTTAGAAGCCGTAGTCTGGACATGAAAAGTCTGTTTATATAATTAGAAATTCTTTGACCACCAACAATGTGTTTAATAATTTAAACCGACCAACCCGATTTCAACCTCACATTGTTTTCAGTGTCATAATATATATATATATATATATATATATCAGTGTGTCGAACCGAAAAAAATACGGGTTCGGTTACGGTTCAGGTTCAGGTAAACTTATTTTGTTCCGGTTCAGTTCCGGTTCGATTAATTCGATCCGCGAACCGGTTCGCCAACCGGTTCGGGGCGCTGAACCGGTTCGCGAACCGGTTCGGAAATTATAAATGACAAATTGCACCATCAAAATAAATAACAAATAAAACATTTGAAATCAGCACATATGAAAAGGGATACATCGTAGTGTAAGGCTCAGGGATTTCTACCATGAATGGTTTCTTTATGTGCACTCAAAGGTTACCTCACCGACGTTTACGCATTCGGACTTCATCTAATTGGGTCCGACGCAGTAGCTGTAAAATCCGCGACCTTCTTACACACCCACTTACAAGAAGAACTCGCTAACTATCCCGCCACCTCGGCGTGTAAGCAATTGAAGGAACAGTGGGGAGAAAATACAGCTTTCTTTATTTGAACTATCCTTCGGTAACTCAAATTAGACCCTTAAAGAAGTTTTCATTAAACAAGATACGGAATATGAAAAACACTTCACCGAACGCAACGCCAGAAGGACGTAATAGGATAAATATTAAAATAGAAGAGTTCGCTGTCTCAGAAATATGTTAGCTTCTAAGTGCCTATACGAAACCGGATGCATTATTATCAAACTCCACAGCCTTTTCTTTTCTCATTCCGATGGAAGCAAGCTTCAAGAACTCGCGCGTTCTAGAAACGTGTTATGAAATGAGCACACAGCAACATTTAGGATTTACGAGATTATAGAAAATTAAATCCCGTGACGCGATTTTTTTTTTTTTTTTTTTTTGCACAGCCTTTTAATTTTTTTTCTTCCGTGCAAACCGCGACCAGCGCAATACTGGTTCCTATGTCAAGATTCATGGATGCAGCGTTTGTCAAGATTCATGGATGCAGCGTTTATATTCCTAAGACTGAGTGGAGAAGAAAAATATGTAAGCGAGGTGTGTGTCAGTTGACGGCACTTAAAAAACAAATGGCATTGATAGCACATTCATTGTCAACAGCGCGTGGCCGAACCGTTTTAACATGAGCCGGTAACCGTTATTTTTTTTCCGGTTCAGTTCCGGTTCGGGTTCATAGCGATAACAATATAACGGTTCGGGTTCGGGTTCAGTTCCGGAAAAAATACCGGTTCGGTTCCGGTTTTTGGTTCGGTTCGGTTCCGGTTCGACACCCTGATATATATATACATATATATCAGCGTGTCGAACCGAAAAAAATACAGGTTCGGTTACGGTTCAGGTTCAGGCAAATTTATTTTGTTTATTTTCAGCGCCCCGAACCGGTTCGCGAACCGGTTCGGGGCGCTGAACCGGTTCGAAAACCGGTTCGGAAATCATAAATGACAAATTGCAACATCAAAATAAATTACAAATAAAACATCTGAAATGAGCACATACGAAACGGGATACATCGTAGTGTAAGGCTCAGGGATTTCTACCAGGAATGGTTTCTTTATGTGCACTCAAAGGTTACCTCAACCGACGTTTACGCATTCGGACTTCATCTAATTGGGTCCGACGCAGTAGCTGTAAAATCCGCAACCTCCTTACAAACCCACTTACAAGTAGAACTCGCTAACTATCCCGCCACCTCGGCATGTAAGCAATTGAAGAAACAGTGGGGAGAAAATACAGCTTTCTTTATTTGAACTAGCCTTCGGTAACTCAAATTGGACCCTTAAAGAAGTTTTAATTAAACAAGATACGGAATATGAAAAACACTTCACCGAACGCAACGCCAGAAGGACGTAATAGGATAAATATTAAAATAGAAGAGTTCCCTGTCTCACAAATATGTTAGCTTCTAAGTGCCTATACGAAACCGGATGCATTATTATCAAACTCCACAGCCTTTTCTTTTCTCAATCCGATGGAAGCAAGCTTCAAGAACTCGCGCGTTCTAGAAACGTGTTATGAAATCAGCACACAGCAGCATTTAGGATTTACGAGATTGTAGGAAAATGAAATCCCGTGACGCGATTTTTTTTTTTGCACAGCCTTCCAATTTTTTTTTTTCCGTGCAAGCCGCGACCAGCGCAATACTGGTTCCTATGCCAAGATTCATGGATGCAGCGTTTTTCAAGATTCATGGATGCAGCGTTTATAATCCTAAGACTGAGTGGAGAAGAAAAATATGTAAGCGAGGTGTGTGTCAGTTGACGGCACTTAAAAAACAAATGGCATTGATAGCACATTCATTGTCAACAGCGCGTGGCCGAACCGTTTTGACATGAGCCGGTAACCGTTATTTTTTTTCCGGTTCAGTTCCGGTTCGAGTTCATCGCGATAACAATATAACGGTTCGGGTTCGGGTTCAGTTCCGGAAAAAATACCGGTTCGGTTCCGGTTTTCGGTTCGGTTCGGTTCCGGTTCGACACCCTGATATATATATATATATATATATATATATATATATATATATATATATATCTATGGGTGATTTCATCTCAACTCAGGCACGGATTTAGGGTCGAATTTTTAATTTTGACGAAAAAAATATATGTTTTGGGGCAATTC